AAAAAACACGACTCCTCTTGGTCTAGTCCAAGTGACTCAGCCTCTCTGGGCCTCAGTTTCCTTGTTTGTGAGAGGGTTTGGACTAGTGGTTTCTAAGACATGAGTTCTAAACTTGAACCTGTGTTGCATCTCCCCCCATCAGTGTGAAAATCACGTGTACACATACAGCTTTGTGAGTAAGAGAGTTCCTAGCTCTCGTGTGCTTTTGTGAAGGGTCCATGATGCAGAAAAGGTCACGTTACCACTCATTCAGAGAGAGACCATTCATCCGCGCCAGACCCAGTTTTGCTAAGGTTGAACCTTTACCGATCTACTGCGTCCGTCACCAGGAAGCACTGGGGCAAAATATGTTTTGTGATCTTAGGCAAGGTAGAGGAAACCAAGCCAAAATGCAGAGGTAGGAAGTGGACGGTTTGGGCAGAGCCAGACCAGCCCTCCCAGAGTGGACACCTTAGAGAAACCAGAGCCAAGTAGGGTTTTAACTTCGAAACACAAAACTTTATTACGTTTCTACTTATGTCCTTATGTGTGATATATTTAGGACCAAGTACTTAAGAGAAGTCCTAAGTATACCCTTGGGCTGATTTGGTTTCTACACCCACTGACAGAAGGACTCTTGTCCTCCTTCCCCATTCCAGCTTGAGGCACTTGGTGTCACGAAGAAAGTGGCAGCTGGCTGGAGAGATGAGGCTCAAGTCTAAAATCCCCCAGCACAAGTTAAGAACAAACTGAGAGGGGAAGTCTCCTTTTGCTCAGGATCCTTCCCAGGTTAGCACAAGGAAAGAACACAGAAATTTCCATGGACACCACAGTAGGCTTTCATACCCCTCAGATCAGGGAGAGGACCCCAGAGCATTTTCCTGCCCCCAACCTGACCTTTCTACACCCTGGTACTTCCTGGCCCCACTTATAATCCTACAAACCACCCCATCTCCCGAGCTTTGCTCCTCACTTTCTTCTCTGAGCAGCTTGAGCACAGGAAGCAAGAGGTCTCTCTGACCAGAGATCTCAGAAGCCCCCAGGGAGGCCCCAGGGAGCTTTGGAGAATGGGGACCAGATGGCCGTGGACAGGCCTGCCCTCTCCACCACCACAAGCCATGAGGAAGCCCAGGGTAGATGCTGTTCTGTCTTGGCCGTCCTTGGCTTTGCTTACTCTCCTTGTCCTCCCCTATTCCAAATGAACAGTATGTACATGCCATCGAAAGAAGAGGGACTGAAGCAGGGGAGACCCATGGGCACAGATCTCTTCTACCTTTGTGAGCCGGAAGGCACCAAGGGTTGTCAGAGGAGTACAGGATAATGGCCAGTGAGTCCAGGAGGCTGGGGACAAAGCTCTCTGGCTTTGTTGGGGGTTGAGGGAGGAAACAGCTTCAGCTACCAAGCCCAGAAGCCTATGGCAGAGGTGGGAGGGGACACCTCATCACCCCAAAGTTACTTCTACTTCTCATATTCCCTTTTGGCTGTAGAATAGGCTTTTTCTGTCCTCCCTGCAACCCCAGCAGTCGAGAAGAATTTGGTGCCACGGAGTGGGTGGAAGGAGAAGGCACGTCTTCTGCCTGGTCCCTGCCAAGTCTACCAGAGGCAAGAGTTAGTCCCTGGTTCCTCCAGCCCCGCCAGGTCCCTGCACATCCACTGCCACAGAGGCCACCCATCCCAGGACAGAAAGGAAACTGGGCACATTACTGGAGGGGAAGGAAGGGGGTCTGAGGTCCGGACTCCAGTCACAGGGCCCAGCCCTCTAGGGAAGGGAGAGCCCACAGTGGGCGCACAGTGGGGTGGAAGGTGCTCCTTAATTGCGGTCCCCCACCAGCTGCAGCACAAAGGTGAAAATGTAGATGATGTCAGTGTAGATCTGCAGGGCGCCAGTGATGTAGTCCTCCGGGCTGATGGTGTGCTTTCGGTTTCCCAGGACCAGCTGCGTGTCGTAAGCCAGGAACTGCAGGAACAGGGAAGGCTCGAGTGAGGACCCAGGGGCTCAGGGGCCAGAGCTCCTGTCTGGTTCTCGTTTCATAAGCACATCTGTCCTAGGAGCCTCCGTGCCATGCAGTGTACTTAGGGACTCTTTAATGACCAGAACAACCCATGGTCTCTCCCCTCAAATGGTTCAGTCTAGGAAGGCAGAAAGACACGCCATCATCTATAATACAGCCTGCTGGGTATTCACAGCAGGCGAATGAACGAGCGATGGCAGGAATGCCCAGGAAATCGGTCACCTCTTGACCGTGGAAAGAGGAAAGGGCAGCTGTGGCCCCACTCCCTGGCTCCCAAGCAGCCTAACTCCTGCTCCACCTGTTCCTCTTCTCCAGCTCCCACTCCCCTTCCTAGAGACAGCAGGGCCTTACTCACCAAGGTGAAGCAAATGGCCCCCAGAGCAGCATAGACCATGTGGAGCCAGTAAATCTGGGGAGAGGGGACAAGGACAGTGTTAGAGATCTTAGTAAAGCACAGACCCAGGCAGTCCCTCAGTGCCATTTCCCCCAGAATTCTGGCATCTGAGTGGGGAGACCCAGGAAGGTAGCTATGTGAAAGGACTACTTCTGCCTTCCACATCCTGAAAGAAATTAGGAATAGTAACATATTTGGGGTGCCTGGCTGGCTCATCTGGTAGAGCATGTGAGTGTTGACTTCAGGGTTGTGAGTTCGAGCCCCACATTGGGTATAGAGATTACTTAAAAAAAAGAACAGTAACATTTGGCAGAGAAAACAGAGGCCATCTTCCAGGGGTCATATAAAACCAATCTCCAAAGTTAGTTAGGTTACAGAAGTGTCCACTGTACTTCTGGAAAAAAGCAGGTGGTTGAGCTATAGCTCTGGGAGGGGCAGGAGCCAGGCAGGTACAGCTTGAAGAGCCCTACACATAGTCAGCATTCAGTAGAGTGGTTCCTGCGGCCT